AGGTCTTTAAATATTTTGTGGATTAATAACTTCATTCTTTCAAGGCTTGCTTTTAAACTGTGTTAGGGCTTATCTAGAGTCATCATTAGGGGTATTTTAGCCCAACTACTAAGGTGTGATCTTCTGGGGTCATTAATTAAGGCAATCAATGAGGACTTTCCAATATGTTTGGTCAGACCTTGAATGTCTCTCTGCCCCCCATGATATCCAAGAATTTTCAGCATACAGCTCCTTAGTAGTTGTCTACCCGGCTTCAGAATTTTCACCCTAAATTGCATAAATATGCATAGCTTAATGTCCCATTATCAACAGATACAAAGTCACCTAGATGAAGATTTTTTGAGGTCTTTCTCTGTGTAGCTCCCTTCTGTGTCATATTCTGCTCCACAAATGCCAGCTACCTTAGTCCCTTTCTTCCGATCTATTTCTCCGTCATTCAGTGTGACTATCAGGTTCTACCTAGGGATTCTTCTCCACACAGCTGGTCTAGAGCGTGTCAAAGGGCATTCATAGGGCTCACAATTTTGTTTCTCTCTTCTCATGATCACAGTCCAGCTCTGCCTGTTGTCCATTGTCTGAAGCAGTTGTCCAGTTTTTTAACTGTTTAGAGTGGGATGATAAATCTAGTCCCTGTTTTTAACTATGGCCAAGAGCATAAGGCTTTTACGCCATTTTATAGGTGAGTAAGAGATTAGAAAGACTGAATAGTATAGTGATGAAGACCAAGGATTTGAGATTTAGGCTGGAATCCAAATTTTTGCTGTTTACTGCTTGTACTACCTTGGGGTAAGTTATTTAACTTTCTGTCTTGGTTTCCATATTTTTAAAATAGAGATGCTTATGATGAGAATGATGATAACAATAATAGTAAAAATAATAATATGATATTAGAAATTTTCTCTTACCATTATTGTGATGATTAACTGAGATGATAACTGTGAAGTTTTTATTTTTTAGCACAGTGCCTGGCACATAGTGAGTGTTGGATATGGAGTTAGCTAATTAGTAATATTGTCCATGGTCACTTTGGTAGAATTCCGACTTCAAGGTCGAGACTATAACACTGTTGGACAAGATGGATGTTTTTTCATTATTTATCAAAACTGTTTTGTTCTGTTTCTTTCCAGAACAGAAAACAGGTCTATTCAGGCCCTTAGGACAAATCCCCTTGAAGCAAGGACAAAGTTTACTCATTTAATGGAACATGAGAAGTCTTTGTCTTTGTGGGGAAATTTTAAAGGGAAGATCTGTGGATAATCTCTCATGAAATCTTAGTTCAGGGTACCTATTATTTGATTATAATGACGGATAGCTTTAATATTAGGCAAAAATTAACAGTTTCATAGTCTTGAGATTATTGTCGCTCAAAACACAACTTTTAAAGGACATATCCCAGTTTTCTTTTTAGAACCTCATAAAATCTTGAATGACCACAAGTCGGGCTTAATAGAGAAAAATCAGGTAGAGCCTGCATTGTTCGTTGTCGAAGGTTCAAAGATGTTCTAGGTTGATCCTCACAAACTTAAAGATGGCAGGTAGACAAGAAATAAGACACAAGTTTGTCAGATATGTAATGGAGTATTTCAGCTCAGCAAGAAGAATTTAGAAGTCTTGCTCTACTGGCTAATCACTGCCAATGTGTCAGCCAACATCAGCGTATTCTCAGATGACAACGGTGCCAGTTAATTAGCTTTTGTTTATGTTTTGACTATTGGTAGACTTAAATTATATTCATATTGTCATGCAGAACAAACACATAGAAAGGTTTGCCTTGGATCTAAATACAGCCTTTCCTTTGCTGCAGTGACATTTGAACTGTATATCAGAATAAAAAACCTGTGTCAGGCATAAAAAAAGTAGATCATCTAAGTCAATAATTAAGAAACACCTAATTAATGATAATTTTGGCTTGAAAACAAAACATCCTATTTCAACAGAAGTTTAAATTGATTTATAAAAATGCAGACATTATCTCTGAGATTGATGCTACAAAATGCCATGCATATCTCTGCAAATTCCTCAATCTTCTTATCACTTTGACTTTTTAATGCTGTAGTTTAAAGCATATTCTTTTTTGTTTGTGTGTAAGGAAGATCAGCCCTGAGCTAACGTCCGATGCCAATCCTCCTCTTTTTGCTGAGGAAGACTGGTCCTGGGCTAACATCCGTGCCCATCTTCCTCTGCTTTACATGTGATGCCGCCACAGCATGGCTTGACAAGCGGTGCGTCGGTGTGCACCCGGGATCCAAACCCCCGAACCCCGGGCTGCCGAAGCGGAGCCGCGCACTTAACCGCCACGCCACCAGGCCCGCCCCTAAAGCATATTCTTTACGTACAATTCTTGAACTAGAATGAATTTCCTTCTTTCATGACTATTAAAAAGCTTTTGTTTTTCCTGATCCTTGTAAACTCTCTTCCAACAATGCTTATGAAAAGTCAAGAAAATGGTTTTCTACAAACTAGAATAATACATCACTTGTAGTAATTTCAATTGCAAGAGAGTTTGTTTCTTTGCAGTGCATTCTGTATTACAAGGTTTCTGCTGAGGAGCTCAGTAAAGCATTTTAGGGATGTTGGAATATTTTCCTTCTGAAGATAAATGCTCCATGCTTGGTGCACTCCAGCCACTGTCGCACCTGTTTCAAGACTTCAATGTGAGAGTTAAGCAAGGGCAAAGCAGCCCTGAGGGAAAGTGTTTTAATGGAGATCCTTGCTATTTTCTCCACTCTCTTTTTCCCTCTTTCTTTCTTTTTTCTCTTTCTTTCCTTTTTTCTCTTTCATTCTTTCTCTCTCTCTCTCTTTCTTTTCTTTCTTTTCTTTCTTTCTTCCTCCTTTCCTTTCCTTCCCTTCCCTTTCTTTCCCTTTCCATTTCTTCTCAAAGAAATGTAAAGAAATACAGATATGCTTCCTTGGTGTCCTTGATTAGAAATAGTCCAGACATCAGGAAGCTAAAACCAGGATGATTATTTACATAATCCTTAAAACTGAAAGTTTTCAAATACATTGCAACAAAAAAAAATTTTTTAAGGCAGTTTTAAATACACCGTTCCATCTCCACTATGCTGTCCTTGAATTACTAAGATAATTTATCATTGAAATAAGCTTAGGCAATCATAAATGTTGAACAGCTGCCACTGGCAGCTTATTAGTTCCAAAGCTTTCCACAGAACTTTAACCAACATGACATTTTGATCCCATATGTCCAGGAAGTGGTCAAGATTGATCAGTCAGCTTTGAACAGAAGAATTTTCTCCTGATGGAGTGACAGCTATAATCACATGGTATTTTTAGGAAAGTGATACACTGAAAAATAATATCACAATTATGTGTTTATGAAGTGTTGGTTTCTACAAGCTGGAGATTTAACAATGATTGCTAGAACAGATTACATTTCTAAAAAATATAAAAATTGCACAGAGATAGTATCAACCAAATGAATTATGAAAAATCTCTATCCTGTTCTCTTCTTATTGAAGGCAGTACAGAGTGTCACAAATGCCCTTACATCCTGTCACACAAGTGAATTACAAATAGGAAGTAAATAGTAATGGTAAATTGACTTCCCCTTACCAGAGTCTGATACTTGAATCCTTTGTCCCTTTCTTATCTATGACAGATCCCTTTCATTAGTGAGTTCTCATATTCTAATAATCAATCCAAAAATATTCATAATTATGGGAAAGACAATACCATTGCCATTTTCACGGTCACATTATGAAATTTTGTGTGTTGAGTACAGTAACTGTTTATTAAAAGTAACACATGGAAATATGAATAAAATATCTTTATATACAAAGTGGCATGGCATTTTTTCTACCTAATATTTAATAATACACTTGCAAATTTTCCCTGCATTAACATAGTGGAAAACAATAAATACAAACATTAGGTAATATAAGAACATCAAGAAAGTAGGAAAGTTTCCATGGATAAAAACTGTTGGCTCTGGACACTTGAAAATCAAGGGAAGGTCATGTCATCTGTGAGCCCACCTGTGTGGGCTATTAGGTTAACTGCTCACAAACGCCCCTCCTAAAATTCGCTCTCCTGGGAATGTTCCTATAAAATGTAGTAATGTGCTTTTTTGTGTCTCGAAGGACAAGAGAGGCCCAGGATTCTTTTTGATTCTATCCAATTATCGCATTCCTCTGGACATTCCCTTGTTGAGACAGGTGCCTGGTGCAGACTGGCGAGCAGGACTGGAAGTCAGCATTGAATCCAGAGAGCTTCCTCCTTTTCTACACCTGGAGCATAGACGCTGAAGACTAAGCCTGTGGGGGAGAAAACATTGAGATTCCAAGAAAGTGAAGAGGTAGAGACGCTGGGGGAGACCATTTCTGGGTAAGAAATGTCTGTGACTAGCTGAATTTTTTTCCACCCAGTAGAGTCACTTGAATGTCTCATAAGCACTTCAAACTCTACATGTCTGAAAGGAAAACCACCGTGCTGCCTCCCAAACCTGTGCCCTCTCACCCCATAACCCCAATCTTTGCTATGATCGCCATGATCCATCCAGGCGCCCATGCTAGAAGTGCACGCAACATCTATAATTCTAATGTTCCCCGTTCCCCACCGCCCACATTCAATCAGTCACCACCTCTGGAGAATTGCTATCTTCCAGGCATTTCTCTATTCCATTCTGCCTCGTCCTCTCCATCCCCACTGTCCCTACAGACCTGGTTAAAGCTCTTGTCCTTCTCCCCTTTTCCTAGGAAATACTGCAATAGTCTCTGACTCTTCTGCTTCCAATCCTAACTCCTCTTGAATTAGTCTTCACGTTAAACACTCAGTGATGTGTCTCAAGCATGAATCTCATCATACTCTTCTTCTGAGTACAGCCCTTAACTGTACCCTATCATAAACGGGACACGAGTTGGGGTCTGTTGCTTGGGCTGACGGTGTGAGTAATTAAGAAATTTCTGGGCAACTTCTGTGCTTTGCTGCTGTGTGCACCTCAGGGAGAAGAATGAACAGGCATCTTCTCCACTTCTCCTTCACAGGAAGGGGAGCCAGGGCTGTGGTTTTGTGCTGAGGGATTTTCTCATTTGCAATGCAGAAACAACTTTCTGTCTTGGTCCAAAAAGGAGCAGGAGACGGAGGCACCTGTGCCTCAAGTGGGAAAGGGGTGGTGGCCCGACCTGGCAGGGCTTAGATGCGGTGTGGCTGACGGCATTGCTGCTGGTGTGCTAGAATCTGGGAGGAGGACGGTATGGTGTGGGAGGGGGTGGGCACTGGTACCAGGGGTGGAGACCTGCACCCTGCTCTTTCACAGCATGGTTGGCAGAGGCAGGGCCTTTAATAGGGATGGTTGCACTGTTGCCTTGTGTGGGGAAAGCTGGACGTTGGCTGCCGTGGCCTGGGGGCAGTCTGAAGAGCAGAGAGTGGCCACAGAGTCCATGTCAAACCTTACTCTGTGGAAAGGACTGTAGAGCAGGATATGTCTGACGTTCTCATAGAGCATCTGCAGCTGACAGATGGTCCAGCACATGCCAGAGCATGGCGCAGTTCTAGAAGGAACATGTTAATTATAGGAATGGGTTGCACAACAGGCTCCTCTCTCAAATTTTGGACTAATTTCCTATATCCAAGGTCGGAGGGTCCCCAAAGTGAATAAATGACTTCTTGATGTCATTAATGAAAGAGAAAAGAATCTGATTTTATTCTACTTAGAAAAAGAAAGTTAGTGTTTCATTCTCGCCTTGTGAAGTCCTTTATGATTGACATCACGGGGGATGTGGGAAGCAAGACCTCTCCTGGTCTGGTGCTCTCTGCTGCTTCAGCCTCATTTCCCAGCCCCTCTGGCATTGACCTCTATCCTCTAGGGTAGTGCTTCCCAAGCTATCTCTGGTGAAGAACCAGGTTGTTTTTTTTTAATTTCTAATCAGCTGCAGACTGGTATTTTTAAAAATAAATAACATCAATAGAATGTTGCAACAATATCAATTTTCAAGTGCTTACACTCAGTTTCTGTATTTAGTCTCACTGTGGAACAATATCAACAGTTCACTGACCTAGCACCAGACGTGCACAGCACAGCGCTAGGCTGACCAAGTGTTTATGAATTCTTTCATATACCGTGCAGTTTCATAATTCTTTTCATTTGTATGTGCTGTTCCCTATGCTTAGAAAACCCTTCCTCTCTTCATCTAGGTCACTTTTTTTCTTATTTTGTAGGTCTCCCCTCAAATATCATCTGCTTTAAGAAATTTGCTATTAAACTTCAGGATACCATGTCTATCTTTATGTACCACTATCTTGTTATTTACTACATTATATTAAAGCGATCTTCCTTATGTGCATTTCTCTCCACTTCTATACGCTCTTTGAGCACGGGAGCCACATCATGTCCTTTTTCATTCCTAGCCTTGGCATGGAGTAAGGTCTCTGTCACTTTTTGTTCAACTGAACCATACTTCTCTGTAGGTGAGTTTCCAAGTGAAGTCAAGATTTTGCAGCATAGATTAACTAGATAAACAACTGGATTGGTGTGAATAGGATAATGCTCATGATTAATATTGTATTAATCATTTTTTTAAAGATCATCAACCTCTATAGGAACAAACAGGAGTTTTCATTACAGTGTATTCCATATTGATAATCTTTCTCAAGAAGTGGATATTGCTTCATTAATGATTTTTTTCAGTAGTTGATAGTATCAATTTGGATGTCTGTACCGATATTAGTATTTATTTTCTTTCTAACATATAATCTCTCTAAAATTCAGTATGTCGGCTTCAATAATGATAATCTAGGACTTTATGGTCACTGAATCTCTCACAACCCTAAAATTTTATAAATTTGTGATTCTTACAAAGAATAAATGATCACTTTTATAAGAAAGTGTCATGATATATTCTTTAACAATATTGACAACACTTTATAAACAAGCACAATGGTCTTAGGAGAAAAGATCATTCTGTCAGGGTTTCCACTGCATGTGGAATCCAATGCAAAGTATTATTAAGAAATTTTTCAGGGCCATAGCCTACGATCAGAAAATAAATCTCCTTTATTCACGATGTTTTCTTTTCAGCCCCTGTTATTTCATTTAAAAAATGTAAAAAAGAAATATTTGAAAAACATGTTAAACTCTTCAGGAAGTTCACAAAGATGCTTTTAGATTATAAGGATAACATTTAGAAAATGACAGAGGTACAGTGAATTGTATCTGGGAAGAACAATAGAAATGGCTAGCAGTCCACACTGCTGAGGGTCTGTAGGATGAGATGTTCACACCAGCTACTGGGACTCTCCCGCCCCTTGGCTCTTCATTGGTCTGAAACTCCCTTCAGTTCTTGAACTGGCAGCAGCTTGAAGAGAAGCGAGGAAGCCCCGCTGGGGAGGGAGCAAGCAGGCCACAGCAGCTCCCCGCCCTTACTACAGCACAGGATTAGTTGCAGAACAATCAAAAACTTTCTGTTCAGTTCTAAAATTGTTTCTTTTTTTCCTCATTTAACATACATCTTGGACATGTTTGCATGTAATTAAAAAATTGTCTTGAGTATTACTTTTGCTAGTTGTATAATTCATTGATGAGATGAAGCATAATTTATTTTAAATTTCCATACCATTAGACATTTAAGCTGTTTCTAATTGTTTGCTACCATTCTTTGTATATTAGTCTTTAGTCACATTTCAAATAATATCCTAATGAAAATTTCCTAAATGTGAAATTACTAGGTGACAAATGTCTCTTAGTGAATTCTACCAAACTGCTCTTCAGAAAAATTAATTCAATTTATACTTTCAAATGCAGCATATGAAACTATTTGCTTCCCCAGTATGATTTTTAACAAATTAGAAAAAAAAGCTCAAGTAAATTGATAGGTTATTTTTTGGGGGCCTTAATTCCCATTTTTGATTACTAGTAGCATAGAAACTCTCTTATAATTTTATATTACCATTTCTATTTCCTCTTCTATGAATTGCCTGTTCATGCCTTTTCTTATTTTTCTATTATTTCTCAATTTGTGTAAATGTCTTTGTATATTTAGGATATTAATTAATGGTCTCATATTTATGACAAATATTTTCCCAATTTATTTTCTGTCTTATAATTTTCTTTATAAAAATATTTTATGTTTGGAAGTTTCAGGTCACGATGTAGTAGAATTCCTACCTTTTCCATTGCATTTTCCTATACTGTTCTATATTTCAAAAATTCTTACTCAGACACTTAATATAACAAACCTAATTTTTCTCCTACTGTCTCTTTCTTTTTTCTTCCATTTACTTCTTTACACACCTTTTCCCTATATAGGTATTATTAGTGAAGGTCCTGACCTCTATGCTCATTAGTGACCAATTTGTTCACACCATTTATTGGCATCAATAAGAAAGGGATGTGCTTTGTCTGCTCCACATTTTTGCCTTTGCAGAAGTTCTTTGTAACAGCAAATCACTTCTTTTAGCTATGTCATCCTTGCCACTTCTTGTCATGAGAGAATTATTCTCAGAAGAAGATAATGGACAGAGGAGCATATTTGCATTGTAAATAAGCACCAGTGTGTATAGCTATGCACAGAGCTAATCCATCTCCCATTTGTGAGTCCAGTGGCCCTCAAAACTTATCACAAGTTATTTTAGCACAAATAGCTATTTTGAGGGTGCTACCAGGTGATAGCTAGGACCAAAGTGAATTACATGGGGAAAGTTTAAGCTAAAATAATCCTTTTCTTATTCTAAAGAAATTACAGTCCCTAAATGTGGCAATAAATCTACAGTGAAAGGATAATATTTTTTGAACCACTATCAACTTTCTTCTTGTTGATATGAAAGTCACAGAGACTCTAGAACTAGTTTGAATTGATGAATCAGTATAAATTATGTCCATATAGTTTTTAAATTTTTTCTTTAATTGATTTCTTGTGCATGGTTTTATGTTCCCACTAGACAAAGCTTTGCAGAGAGCAAGGTTCATAGATCATAAATATTTTGGAATTTCTGTCTGCCCTGCCAAATCACATTAAATATAATACTCTGCACAAAATAGATGATCAATATATGAAGCAGCAAACATTAAATATATCTATAATTCTATTTTGAGGTGAAAATTTTTTAACATGAGTGAATATTTCTATATTAGTGCTTGCGGTTGCATACAGATATGAAGACTTCTCAATTTCTTTTCCCAAATCTTCTAGGTCTGATGAGTATATTCTTATTTATTTTGAATCTCTGAGTTGATATCTGATTTCTAGTTGACAACTTAGAAAGTAATTACTCACTGGTTACGACATTCAAAGTACAATGATTGCTAAGAGAAATATATTGAAAAAAAGTGAGATGAGTAGACAGTAGAATTGACAGATGTCAAACTTGTTTCTGCCCATTACTTTCTGATCTTTACTCTCAGAACATCACTGTGTAATTCCAAAATTACACATAAGATCATCAAAAGTTATTTACCTCTGCAAATCAAAAGATGTGAAATCAGAGGCTAGGAATAATTTTAAAGTACGAAAATGGAATGGAGTGGAATTTGGACAAGGATTTCTTTTATTGAGCTTGTGGGGCCCAGCACTATTCCTTGTCTTCTATACAACTTTTCTTTCTTTTTCTTTCCAACTGAACAGAAGACTTTGTCTTCCTCCAAATCGGACAATTAGTCACTGAGATTTGATGATCTAGAAAGCATCCTTTCACCAGCCACAAGGTACCATAGCTGGTACAGAAGGAAGCCTCCCGTATACTAGCTGGGGCTGGACCACATGTCTCCACGCTCAGCTTCTCGAACTTCGCACCTGAAAGGGTCCATTGCAAAAGGATAGGCAAACTCTCAGATTCCGCTCATCCTAATCCACCCCTTGCTGGCTAGAAAGGGATGGAATTCTGATACTGATGCATTCATCTGGATGGCACTCTTCTGTCTCCATCTCCTGCTACTGGCCAGAGAAGCATGGCAGGCACCATTTATTCAATAAGCACTTGCTGAGTGTCTGTAACAGCACCATATTAGTGGCTGAGCAGTGGACATAGGTAATGAACACAACAGTTATATTCCTTGCCCTGAACGCTTCCCAGAATGACTGCTGCTATGGTCAGGCCAATTCTGGGCGTATACACATTTATTTGTTCTTTTGCTTTTTTACTATTAGTTCAAAGGGTAGATTTTTCTGTAGGTCCTAAAAAGCATCATACACTAATTGTGAAGGCACTTAACCAATGCTTCTTATGACAACTAAATTAAAGTCAAAGAAAATGTCCTTACTCAATTCTAGGAAAGCAGAAGACAATCCCATGCTAAGCTAGGAGAGTTAATTCCAGCAGGCCTAAATTTGGCCTGAGCTGTTTTAATGAAATAGGAAATGCACCTGCATTGCACAGACTCCTTGTCAAGGAATGGAACGTGATGAATAACTGTGTGGCTTGTGACCATCGTTCTGAGAAGTTTCACTTATTTATTGATGAACAATTATTGTAATGAGATTCAGCATTTGTATCTGGTCTAATTGAGACACCTGGAGGGCTCTGTCACTCGGTTGGTTGTACAGAAAGGGTATGCCCACATGACCAGATGGGTCTAAGAAACCCCAGCTGAGGCGACATTTTAGGTTACCTTGTTTGAGGTGCTTTGTGCACACATTCACGGTTTCTGGAGCCAGAGACAGTGCATCCTGGTCTGGTCCACACAGAGGGAGGACAATTGGACCTCCCACCTGGATTCTCTGGACTCCTTGCCCCGAGCCAGCCTTTGGCTGTGATGTCTGTCCTTACTTTAATGCAGCTGCTAGATCATATGCTTTCCCTGCAACAGACGGCACATTTGCAGGTATTGTCATGTTGGGTCCTGCGAGTCTCGTTAGTGATAGAACCTGTCTAGCTGCCACTGTTAGTGTGTGTATACTATCCCAGGTAAAGGCAGGCTGCGTTTAGAAGAAAACATTACCAACAAGCAGAAAGAGTAAATTGTGTTATTTCTGAGGTAGGCAGAGCAACTGGAAGATTCTTCTACAACCCCCATGACATTCATTTCTCTGGCAACCCTTCTTAGAGTTTGTTTTTTGACAAATAGACAATGATGGTTTCGCTGACACAAACCATTAACTTTTCAGCTCATAAAAGTCTTTAAAAATAACCCGAGCTGCAGAAGGCTAATAAAACAGATATTAATGAGCATCTCAGAGAAAGAAATTAGGAAACTTACATGTTTATTGCCCAGGTGTGGGGAGGATCCATCAAGCTGTCAGTTCTTGGTTTTTCCTTGTGCAGAGCACTCATCTGAAAACAGAGGATATGTTTTGATCTATAAGCTCAGAGAGTGAACAGGATGAAAATAAAGTTTCTTAGCGTGTCTTTTGTTTTTCAAGAAAAGTCCAATTTCCTTGCAAGAATGTCATTAGAGCCACAATTTGCCTCTTGGTATTGCCTGGGAATTGTTCAAGATTTATGAGCTTTTTTTGGCCATCGTCTGTTTTCACCCTAAAGGAGCAATGCTAACTCCCTGGGGGTGGGCGGTGTGAGTTGGGAGATGATGACAAGAGAGACACCACACTGATTTTTGCTTGTTCCATGAGCTGGCTCTGCCGAAGCAAAACTATGTCATATATTTAAAGTGCCATTTTATCAAGAAAACATTCTAGGGTCCTCTGTTTAAAAATAATTCAGTGAGAGTTTTGTGAAAATGAATTTATAGGCCAACATGAACACTTCGGTGACATACAGAACAGCACAGGGGATGTTATTCAAAATAACTGTGTTATTTTATCTTCCAATACGAAGATAAATAGTAACCTAGGATGATGGGAAGCATTTTTACATGCCCCAGGATTTGTGATCACCACAGTTCACATCGCCTGTGTCTTTCAGGTAGATTCAAGTATCAACATCAGTCACCCTATATCAAGCAATATGGCTCAAAGTATGCAGATTTGAGAATAAATGTCATTGTTTTGCCCCAGCTGTTATCTGCCAGTTAGGAAACTCTGAAACTCTGCCTTCTGGGAACTCCACTGATGTCACCTGTCACCTGTGGGGTCATGGCAATAATAAAAAGTGCCAGAGACCTGTGAGGAGAACAAACCCAGGACTCCCCTTCAAGAGCTCTTCAGGTCTCATGCTCGGAGACAGGCCCGCCATCAGGCCATGTCCCTCACAGCCCCCGCCCAGCAAAGACCTGTGCTCACTATTGTTTATTTTGCAGAAGGCACAGCAACCCCTGGAATTCATGGCTGTGAAGTACAGGAACGAGAAGTAAACAAAATAAACTTTTATTGAAGACCTACTCTCTGTTAGAAGTCATGTAAAGCAAATATATGCAGATCATTACAATTCTTACTCCCTTCAAAGTCTAAGTGGTAATAGGAAATGTGAGAAATATTCAGTAACGATATAATTCCAATAGCAGTTATAATAATAATATTTATAGTAAAAGCAAATGAGACACATACATACCTAGAAAAAACAACAGGAAGGAAACACACCAAATGCTAATATTGATTGTATCAAGGTTGTGTTTCACGAATAATTTTTAATTCTTTTCTAGTCTCTATTTTTCTCTATTCTCCATTATGCATAATGTGGTCAAATATTAAAATGGCAGTTGAAGCCACATGGAGATCTTACAAGGCAGTAATATATGTCGATTTGCCAAATTAACAATGAGCTGAGAGGAGGGAAAGCCTGTGTATAGCTGGGACAGTCCAGGAAGCCTTGGTAGAAATGCAGAGAGCGGCTGAGAAGGCAGACTCTGAATCTCGGTGTGGCTTTATAAATCTATGAATCTTTTGCTCACCTTTACACTTTTGTTCATTTCTTTTGTTAAGGAACTTTTATTTGTAAAAATAAGCAAAAAAGGGGCTGTACATTTAATGAGAAATTACCATAATATATTAGATAGTATTAGTATACTAATAATATATGCATAACGTGTAATTACCATAATGGCAGGGGAGGGAGGCGGGAGTTGACAAAGGAAACCAAGGCACTGCTCCTCCTTCAAAAGAGCTTAAGTTCAGTGAGGAAGACGGGACAGGAGGTGAAGGACGTCCAAGGAATATGTGTTGCTAAGTGGTGCAAAATTTGAGCAAGAGAAGTCTGACACATCCTGGAAGGCCTTGTAGACATGCTAAAGTGTTTGAACTTCACCTTAGGTAACACAAATTTATCAGGGTTTTCTAAGCAGAGGAATACTATAATGAATTCAGATTTGCTTTTTCTTCCTCCAAATGGTTCAAAATCAAGTAATGCTTTTAAATTAAATTCAATGATACCGTATTTTTTCTCTTCTGTGAAGTCATGTATTCTTTAATTGAAGCAATTTTCTTCATAATTCTTATAGCTTTACATATTTAAAATGAGATAATGTATATTAACTTTCTGAGATGTGATGTGAGTGGGAATCATGTTTAAAATGCATCATGTCACATGCATATTTTGCAGTCAATCATGGTGATGTTTAAATTGGCAAGGTTTCTTACTTAAAGCTGAGTGGGATCTTATATGTTCTCATAAAGACTCTCTGATCTGCTCCATCTGGTGCTCATTTTTTTCTGAAAATGCATTCTTCTTATACCCTAATAGACTTTCTCTTTTACATTAAGGAAAGCTCCTAATTTAAATAATCAAAGTTTAAACATCTATGGGTTACATTTTCAGTAGAAGAACCCTGCTTGAGAGAGAACAAATTTAAAGAAGCAGAGAGTGTGGATGGATAAATGCCATGGCCTAATCAGAGGGGAGCCTTTGGGGCAAGGAACTGTTTTATAAGGAGGAAATGACTAGAACAATAACCAGGGCTCACTGAGGCTTCTAGAAACCCAGAAAATTTAGCATCCACTAGCAATCCCGTGAAGGTGGGTTGCTGCAGAGCTCTGTTTCCTTGGAAACATGATTTATTGACCTCTAAAATGGTACAATGTATTTGAGATATAAGACCAGAGTTTATAAATTGAAGTACTGACCAATCCAGTGATTTCCTACGGCCACTGAAGCTCAAATTTCATTTTGTTACCCACCTAGGCACATCAATAAACACTGTATTTCTTAAGCCACTAGTAAATTACATAAAATATAACAATCGTCAATTCTGAGGGGGGGGGGTAGTCACATATTTGTTCTATCAAATTCTGTTTTGTATTTTTAAACTATCTAAAATTTTGATATAGGAGATAGTGGAAAATTGGGCTAAACTGTGGACTTATACCAAACCTAATCATTTCAGATTCTATTCTAGTTACATTTAGGAAAGGTGTCACTATGGGGCAAGAGATAGTTAAGTAAAAATAATTGTAATAATGTAACTTCTGTTGAGGGTGGTGAGCATGGTTTTAAAAAGAAAGCATATTTGAACAAGTTTTGAAAGACAGTGGGAAGAGATTTGTTTGAGAGTGTTTCAGGAACCATCAAGTCCTGTTCATGGTAGACAGACTTTAATAAAATTGTGGTAGAACAAAGAGCATTTGGAGATCACCATGTTTTAGATTATTAATTCTAGGCTATTGAAATCGACTCTGAATAACCAATATCAGTCTTGCCTTATCACCAAATATTTTCTATGGTAATCAGCTGGGTTGACCTTTGAGAGGTTATTTTATTAAAAGAGATGTGATTCCTAAATTGAGGTTGGCAGAAATAAAAGTACCAGAAAATAGATCCTACTATTTCCATGATATTTCCTCCTTAGACCTGTGACCTGAAAAGTTAGTTATGACGAAAAGAAAGCTTGGAGGGTTAAGGGTCTTCTTAACTGTCCCACCATGGTCTAGTCCACATATTACTGTTGTCACTACAACAGTGGGAGATACCAGCTTACATAGAACTTTCCTTGGGCCTTAAAGCAGAATCAGATATTAAATTTGCAGCCAAGAAACACGAGATTCCCTGGGGTTTTCCCCTCTGGAAGTGTCAATTAATTCTGGTCAATTGTCATTTCTCTGGTAGAAATGGGTGGTAGAACAGGTGGTCTTGATCCCAGCCCTCCTCACAATGAGGGCCAGGGGCTCCTACACAGAGGCTTCTTCCAAGATCTGGTTAGCTTGCCCCCCACAGCCTGGAGAGCCCAAGGCTGCAGAGTGCTTTGTTAAATCCTCAAGGGAGTAAGGCAGAGCTCATGGAATTATTGTGATGCCTGTTTATAAACCCCAGGCAGCTTCTGAGAGCTCTGCTTGATAAACGGTGTGGTCACGCTCAGCGTCTTTCATGAACTTACTCAAGACAAGTTCACATGTAGGCTGCTCGCCCGGCCCTTTTGCCTGACCGAGTAGAATAGACTCAGCTACTTAGTCAAGGCTGGTGAACAGCCAGGGCAAACATATGAGTGGTGTCCAACTAGCCTATGAATGAAATTTCTCCCTTTGCCCATATTCAGATGGTTACCTTGGAGAGAATAGTGTGGGCATAAAGGAAATGTGGACGTCAAAGGGTAGAAGAACTACAAGAATGAAGAAGATTTCTCTCAAAAGACAATGGCTCAATGAGGCGTTTGGGCATGTCTGCAGATTTTGGGTGCCCTAGCTTTTCAAGTCTTCTGTTTGCCTGTTGCAGTTGTTCTAGTTAGAATTTCCTGCCTGAAATTGGGAACACATTCAGCCTTTGATATCTTGCTCTTGAAGTGGAACAAAATTTATAGCTTTCTGTCTTACAAAATTGTTTTTTGCTACATATTTATAATGTAGTTTGTCATTCTACAGTTCTTACTTTCTGTAATATATGTATCCTGGGACTATTTTGTACAGGTAAAATTGAGGAGGACTGAATATTGTAAATGTATTAATGGAACTGGATATTTAAATTAGAGCCACGTGGATTGCTGTGTGAAACTAATAATTACTTTTTTTATCTGTTTTGTGATATTGATGTTTTAAATATTTGGTCTACTCAAAACGAGAAAATAATCTGTGATTTTTTTTATTTTTAAAAGCTATCTAGCATCTCATTTTTCATTGCTCTTGATATAAATATAACTCATACAAATGATATCTGTATTTTGAAAAACTTTTACATTTCAAATCAAATGAAACCAAAACCTAAGAAACTAGAAAAAGAAATGTAAATTTTATCAACAGGAAATTGTGTTTTGTCCTCATTGGGAAGCTCAATTAGAATTATATGAAATGATATAAAATATGATTTACATTTTAACTAATGAGTCCTTGTTCCAGTTAACTGTACACAGCCATTACCAAAAATGAAACAAAACAATAGCAATAAAAAAACCCTGTAGTACACTTAATGTTCTTTCTGCTACTATTGCAGAACAAAGAATGCCTCTGGTTACCACCCATTCTTCAGAACACAGCTACACATTATAAAAAGCAACCTCTAAAAGCCAGATAATCACGAGTCTTACCCAAAATGATATTTCTAGGGCTCATCTTTCCTTCACAAGAGAATGTTGTACTTATCGGGAGTTACTAATTGACTATTTCTAAAGCAGTTATGTTTTTTGGTTGTGTTTCACGTTAACAAAGTCCAAGTTAGATTTTGAAATAAGTATTTTTCATCTAATCAACAATGTGGAAGCTTACCAGACTCATGAGAAATTGTCTTAACAGTGAGAAGCTTCACACTCTCTTTATCGGACTGAGGTCTATTTGGAACAGAAAACATTAAGTTAGCACCACAGTGATTAGCATTGTACGTCTGTGAAAGAAGGTAAACGTGATATGAACAGAATGAGAAAAACACACATGCGTATATATTTTTTATGTGTTTCTTCACATACAGACACACGTACTTTTACAGCACTCTCCACTTCTGGAATGAAGCCAATAAATCTCTGCCATTCTGCTACAACAATGATCATCAGATAAATTAAACATCAGGGTGGGTCATGTGAAACACTTGTCACAAGGTCCATATTGCACAGTTTTGAGTTATGAAGGGAAAGACAAAGATACGTTTCTGACCCTTTTGGGCCGATGCTGAGTTTGGGGCTGTTCCTTCTCATGAGGTCCTGGGTACTGCAGTACAGTGTCTGAACTGTCTATTTTAACCACAAGTTCCCCTCTGTTCCTTCTCAGATTCTAAACCATTTCAAATCCCCATTGGACATCTCAAGAGCCTCTATTTCTAATTAAGAAGGGTAGGTGACCTAAGGAGACTATTTTTAAAGTTCACAACCTGATAAACACACAAACAAGCTGACATAAAGGCAGACTACAAATTCAAGTCGACAAAAAAAAACTTCACCACAGAATTTGTTTTTGACATTAAAACAATTTACCTCTTTGCAGCACTTTGACTGTAACAGTTGGCCGGCTTGTAACAACTGCTTTATTTGTTTTAATAAAGTCAAAGCAGAATAACCACCTACTGTTAAGGCAAAGCTATTCAGAGCTGTATTGAGGTGCAGGCATGATTTCTCCCTAATTGTGATAAACATCCTGAAAATTTCACTAGGAAAACTATTTTAAAACTCTAGGTACATTTTCTATGATTTTTTCCTCATAGTTATATTCATTCTTCCATCTTAGCATTTCATCTTTTGATTTCCCATTTTACCACTTTGTCCAAGCTTAAGAGCAACCTTCTCTTTTAGTGGTTGGAATTTGTCTGTTGAATAGAGAGCACTTTGACAAATAGTTAGCCAAACCCCATATATGGTGCTTTCTATATAAATTCTTTAAAAACAAACCAAAAAAGGTGTAGGTAGAGGGTAATACTTTTCCTATGTAAATGTTAGGGTCAGAGCTTCCAGGAAAAAAAAGATGTGGTAATACTTACTGGTCATTTCCATTTTCCGGGGTGCCTACGTGAGGAGAGAATTGTTATTAGCAGTGCAAGGAGCTTGGCTACAAAACACCTGAGACCCCTGCCACTTTCTGTGCAGAGGTTTCTAAAGCCCATTTTTAACTTTTTTATCACTACTTTCCCTCAACCATTTCCTCAGATATGGTTAACACTCATTCCTCGGGTACGGTTGACACCCATTCCTCGGGTACGGAGGACACCTATTCCTCGGGTATGGAGGACACCTATTCCTCGGGTATGGAGGACACCCATTCCTCGGGTATGGGGTATACCCATTCCTCAGGTACGTGATACACTCATTCCTCTGGTACAGTTAATACATTCACAGGATAGTCCCAACTAGGCCAGCTCCACTGAACTTCGTTCTGGACTAATTTTAATCTTATCGTTTCGTACTGCCATGTGAAACTTCGATTTATTGTCACACCCAGAAAATGTCTCAGTTTATTTCAGTACCTCTGAAAAAAATTCTCCGCAGAGTATTGAATTACCTTCTTATACCAGAGAATTGAATTTTTGTCTTTCCCTTATACATTGCTCTTTCTGGGGATACAAATCACTGTATTTATGGTGAGCTATAACGTAGTTATTCCTTCTAACTGCATCTGAAGCCCACTGATTCAGCCTCTCAAAAGTGCCCTGCAAAATGTCACTGAGGCTACTAACTACAACTCATCTTTTATATGCTTTGCCAGGCCGCTCCACAGGGGTCTGGCAGAGAACAACTTGGGCCTAGAGTGAGAACGCAGAACGAGTCATTCTGCACAAGCGATGGTCTCTTAGGAGCAGATGTTGGTGGTCAAACCTTGCATTAATCTGTGGCCTATTGGGTTAAACTATTTACTGTAATCACTTAAGGTTCCCCTTGTTTTGTTCCTTATTTTGCTGTGGTTTTATTCCACTGCTACTCAGCTCCTGTCTCTTGGATTTCCCTTCATCCCTAAGTTAGCTCTTGTCATGGGGATATGCCCTTTGAATATAATTCTCCTGGCTTTGACCATCCTTGTTTTATTAAGACCTCGATTTCCACTCATATTTTGGCTACTTCTATTTCTCTTATCTTGGCTTAAGATACCCCACCATGATTCTCAATCCCTAGGATTTAATTCATGGCACTATATGCTGTTGACCAACTAGATCCAACCTCGTCTTCCCTACCATCAGTACCATTCTAACAGCATTTTATTATTCCTGTTATAAGTGTTATGTATAATATCACCCATGATGCCCATAGTCCAGTTTCAAAATAAATTGATATTTTTTGTATGCCTGTTTTCATATTTTTCCTTAGAATACTGTAATAAGGGTTAATTAGCAGAGAAATGCGTACCAACAGTCTACTTTCTGCATGTATGCCGTTCTTATTTGTGTTAAAGCTCAGACTACTGTCAACATTATCCAGATTAGCTTAATTTCATACCAAAATCTCTGGTTCATGTTGTCTTCTAGAGAGCAGAATGGGTTCACGAATTTTCTGAACTTAATGAAGTTTCACCCACATGCTTGAAGAGTTATTAACTGCGGGGGTTTAATGGTGTTAATTTAATGACAACAATGCTATAAATTCTGCTTGGAAAACAAAGTTAACAATAACCAAATATTTTTGGCTAATTGTACAATTGCCAAACTTGGTTCTAAAGTACTGTATGTCTTCAAAATAACTCTCCATAGTGGTGGGAATTTTATACATTTTTTTTGAATGATCCAATTCATCCATAGAGTCCTCTTTAATAGAAAATGTCAACTTTTCAAATAACTTATTTGCAAATCTTCCTATCCAAAGCAATTTTTCAGTACAGGGTATTTTTACAAATGGATTTAGCACACTAATTTTTTACCTATCCTACGTACTCAACACCCACAGGCTTCAACTTAGATGGTTGATTTCCCATAAAAGATAGGATTGGTGGTTTAGAAACTTAGCAAAATTAAACTGATTTATAAAAATGCTATTTCCCCTCTGGAAACTAAATGAGGAAACATAGTTCAGACATTATTAAGAAGTTTATTCACTAACTCCCAAAGGGAAAGACATTGATTTGTTTTCTTATTTTCCAGCAGGAGGTGGAATGAACACTGCTGTTTCTGTCTCCTAACTTTCCTTGCACTGTCGTGCTCATGCGCCAGCCTGTCCATGCAGTGTGTGGTCAGGGATTGGCCTCAGGAACAGCACTCATTAGCATCCTGAGGACACACTGCCCCTGGAGTAAATGAAGGATAGTGTATACCTTATATATCAAAGACTTATACCTCTTATAAAAATAATTGATTTTTACTTTTTACCAGTATATGAGACTTAGGTAGAGTTCTGTTAGTAAAATATTTAGAATTAAAGTGAGGAAAGGAAAGGTTCTATTTTACTGAGCATTAAAAACTTTAACTCAACAAGCATATGGTAAGGCTCTGCTATATATTACGCACAGTGCACGGTGAACAATATGTGGTTTGTGACTTGGAAGTGTTGCCTGATGTTAGGGACTGAATGTTTGTGTCCCTCTAACATTCATATGTTAACTCTTAATGCCCAATGTGATGGTCTTAGCTTGTCGAGCCTTTGAAAGGTAATTAGGTCATGAAGGCAGAGTCCTCATAAATGGGATTAGTACCCTTATAAAAGACACTCCAGAGAGCTCTCTTGTCCCTTCTGCCAGGCGAGGACACAGAGAGAAGGCGGCTGTCTATAAACCAGGAAGAATGCCCTCATCAGACACTGAATTTGACAGCAGCTTGACCGGACTTCTCAGCCTCCAGAACTGTGAGAATTCTAGTAATGTTTGTTGTTTAAGCCACCCAGTCTATGGCATTTTTGTTGTAGTAGTCAGAATAGACTAAGACATCCGTCTTGCAGGGGAAGCAGGCACATAGAGAAGTAACTATACTATAGTGTGATGAATAATATCATAAAATTCTATAGAATTAGAACACACCATTATGCTTGAAGAGATGGTGTGTTATTAAAAGATACTTTAAATTGGTGTTTGAACTAGATCTTAATGGGTAAGTTGGAGATTAGGTGTGTTATAAAAACTAAGTAGTGGGCCAGACATTCTAGAAGGAATCCCGTGGATGCAGGTGTGTGGACACATGACAATACATAAGACAACCAGAGTAGGGGTCTGGAATGGAAGAACAGATTGAAGTTCAAGGTGACATAGGGGATTGCTGAGCCATGGGGGCTGAAGGGGGATCAGATGAAGCTTTGAGGAAAAAGAAAGCCCAAGCTCCTGGAACAGAAAAAAGACTGAATGAAGACCGCAAGAAATCTGAATACAGTGGAGACTTTAGTTAATAACAATGTATTATTGCATAATTACATAATGTATTACATAATTACATTACAATGTGATAATTAATTGTGACAAATATACTATACTAACGTAAAATTATTAATAATAAGGGAAATAGGGTATGGGTACATGGAAACTCTCTGTAACTGTCTTCACAACTTTTCTGAAAATCTAAATCTACTCTAAAATAAAAAATTTATTTAAAAAAAGAAGAAAAAATATAGTGCAGTTATGGGATCCATAAATATTTAAGAGGCGGGGAGAAGATGAAACAGCAAAAAGAAGAAAACAAAGAGTGAGGATGTGAAAGAGAATAGTGTCATTTTAAAGGAAAGCAGAAGGACTTGTAAATGCTACTGGGGAGATTAAGAAGGATAATAAAGAATCTTCAAACTAAAATCATGTTCTGTCCTGAGGAACCGATTCAATTAGCAAAACACACAGTCATGGACGACACCTTCACTGGGAGGAAGCTGTGCCTCTCAGGAGGGAAGTAAGTCACAGAACACTCTTCTTGAGACCATGGGCCCCTAAGCTAAATTCTTAGCGAGACTTCTCTTTATTCTCTGTTGCATGGAAATGGAATAAATCTTCACTATATATGTCATTTTATCCCTTCTTTACTACCACATTCACCTAGCCACCCACAAAACTGGGCTACTTCATTAAAAAGAATTTGTCCATATTTGATAATATCTGCCAGTAGTAGTTAATCCCCACTCCTTACATTTACCAGCATTCAAGGCATTTCTCTGCCTCTTCCCCTCTTTTCTGTGATCAAGCAATATGGCATTTTATTTCTTTCTATAACTCCTCTCTCTCCTTAAGAGTTTAAATTCAAGTTTAAACTGAGCATGTGTCTTCTCCTTCAGGAAAACAAAATGAAACAAACATTGTTACCTACCTGGGTCTGTCTTCCAGCACATTCGATACAAACACACCAGAACAAATACTGCAAGTGTTACTACAATCAAAGTAATAACCACTGGCAAAATAATACCTAAAAAGTAGTGGAGACATTGTCAATAGAGTAGCTATTGAATTCACAATACAGTTTACTAACTGAGCAAAAGCATGCATGCTTCCTGTCTTCTTTGAACAGCATTCTATTAAAAATATATTTTAGGCAAAGAAGATTGATTTGATTCATGGGTTTTGCTCTAGTTGTCATTTCTGACGTATCCACTTGATGTCAGTCTTGCAGCCTTTCTGAATTAAAATTCCAAACCTAAGAGAGATAATTCCCCACCTTCTTGGAGACTGGAGGAGTGAGGAGATGGAAGACTGAGAGGCAGGATACATCCTTCAGACCCGTAGTCAGACCCACAGTTACACGTTATTATTCTTTACTACTTTATAATGAAGTTACTGGAAAAAAATAAATGTATAGCCCATACTGGGACTGCTCTCACCATAACATTGGCTTTCTAAAAAACTCACAAATATCTTTCCATAATATCTTAAAACTAGAAAAGGCATACAATAACATAAGTGGATATTACAGTGTATATGATTTCTAAAAATGAACAACATAGTTCAAGAAAGATGTGCATGTGTGCATGTGTGTGCATATGTCGGTTTGGGAGAGTGGTGTTGCTGCAGTTGTTATTAAGAGGAGAATTTTGCTATTTTTTTTAGCATCCACCTTCCCTTCTGACGGTCATTTCCCAGGTTAAAACAACAGTGACGAAAGGAAGCAGCTGTCCTAGGGATACAGCTGGAGATGTAGAGGTTAAAGTTACTATTCTGTTAGGCCTCCTCATCTGCTTGCCTATGTGCTCCTCATGTTCATCAGGGGGTGAGAATAGTTATACCACTCATTTGTGGGGTGCTTTACACTTCCAGTGTTATGGTTAAATATGTTTCACATTAGGCCTTGAGCTCATTAGTGCCTGCCAAAATGAAGATGCCATGAATCAGCAGGTCAACAAATGCAATGCTGACTTTTGGAATGGAATGACTTTATCTAAACCTAAGATAATCTTCTATCACCCCAGCTTCATATACATTCATCTTATTCTTAATTTCCAGGGAAATTAATGAATTTTCTGTATTCAGTCCTAGCATACACATGTATGTTATATGACATATATATGTTTTTGCTAAAATGGAACATGTCTTAAAAGGCCATATTTAACATTAAGATAAGGTTCTGTAAAGGTTAACAATTCATTTTTATAGAGGTCTCTGCCTGTGCACTTTGGCTTACCTGAGACTAGTCCCATCAATTCTCCTTGAACCTCGGTGGTAATTGCGTAGCAGTAAAGTAAGAAAAAAATCCCCAAAATGTGCTCGTTAAAACCATACTCCCTAGTAGGAAATTCTCAAAGCAGGCAACAGTTAGATAGGATTATAATGGGATTGCAGATTCAGTAAAGTTGATGAAAATCTGTCTATAATCCAGTTCTGTCCCTTATTGATCACATTCAAATATTCTGCTTATCTACTGCCAGGAATGAAGACATGTCTGTTACTCACTGGAATAAAAGGCGTTGGTTGAAGAAGAGCTTGCACGTTTTGCCTTCTTAGTGCCTATTACATTAAGAAAGAAAAAAATGTCACTTTTGGTTGATGTGTGTCAATTTTCACAATCCTCCCTCCATGCCCGCCCTCCATGTAAGTAAGCTTCTGTGATCTATAGGTTTGATGCTTCAAGTGAAAAAACTTTATCTCATTCTGAAAGATCTCTGTTTCATGAATCAAGAGTGGTAGGGAGTGAATGTGTACAATCTGATGAGTTTGAACACTTGCATATACCTCTGAAATTATCACCACATTCAAGGTGACAGACATGTCCCTCACCTCCAAAGTTTCTTTGTGCCTTCTCTTTACTGTGGATGTGCAGTTTTTTTTGGATATGAATTATACCTCAATAAAGCTGTTTTAACAAAAAGGATTGGTAGGGTTTTCTTGAGGAGAGGTTAAGCAAAGCAAGTTTCCACTCATATGCACAGAAGTCCTACCTTGAGACTGCGAGGTGTTTCCCGAAATTGTTATCAACGTTGAGGGTAATGTACTGGTTTTAGAAGATGAAGTATCTGATGTTACAGAATTAACTGTAGGAAAATCACAAATCCAGAGTCAGACCATAGTATTAACTCTTCTTACTGGATTTCTTCGCAGATTCAAACAATTTGCATTTCTGAAGATCTGTGAAAACTGTTTATTGTTGAATAATAGAATATATACAATAGTACACTAAATCATAAGTTCAGCTATCTGTCCTGTGAAAATGATTAAATTTAGAATCACAAAACCTGGATATCGGTATTGCATCTTTAAGAACTGGCCAAAAAAACTTGAGTAAGTCTCTTATCCAAGGCTACAGCCTTTATCACCTACTGCACGAGATTCTTGTGGGATGTAAATCTATACAAAAGCATTATTCACATTTCAGATACTATAACTTTGGGTGATAGTGATTTTTTTCCATTGCACGTACTTAAAATGGACATAAATGCACAGGAATTCAGGTTTTTTAGTGTTTCTTAGTGCTTGAAGTGAAAGATACAATTGAGACTTTGGTTAGAAGGACTAGAGAAAAATTCAAAGAAGATTCCTTCATTTTCCTCTTTCAAGCTCCGCAGTTGTTCCCCCTTGTGTGCCTGATCTGGAATAACTGCTGCTTGGGTACATTTCCACCACTGTGCATGCTGTTTTCTTCCAAGGAAAATGTATTATTATTATTATTATTATTATTTGTTTGCTCAAGTCAACACTTTCCATCTTTAATCAGAAGGACTGAAACAAAGAATGATAAATAAAACGTCTTATTTGAAATCCACAAATTTCAACAAGTTTCAAGGAAATCGAAACAATTAAATGTTTTATAAGTTTATAGCATTTATCCCTGTGAATTTAGGATAAAATATAATTTGCATTTAGAACACTTTTTGAAAAAGCATTCTGTTTCTTTTGCAGGAAAAGTGATCTCTTTTTATCACACCTGTTTGCCTTGTCTCTCCGCTGAATTGCAAGCTCCCAGCGTGCGAAGGCCATAACTCCCACCATACCCCACATGGAGCTCTGGCCACTGTGGGTGTGCAGTGGAATGTAGCTAACTGCTTGGCTGAACCAAGAACATCTCTTATAATTATGGCCCCCTTAGGTATACTGAGGCCGTGTACAATTGCATCAAAGAAACTGATATTGCCTATGACTGCCTCAGATCTTTCTCTCTTTGCCACCCACAGCCCAGCACGCACTGCACGCTCATACATTTTTGACATCTGTGGGGGAAGAATAATGTTTGGAGTTTGTACCGTTCTTGCCATGCAAGAGATCTGTGGGAGGGAGCCAGATATATGCCCATAAGAACAAAGAAAAATGTCAGGCTAGTGCACTAAGCAGGCAGAAAAAGGAACATTAAACGAAAGAGTGAGAACCAGCTGAAACCTTGGTACTTTTAGTTGCTTTTTCCAGTGTCAAGTGTTTTAGTGAGGATGAATGCTCTTCCGGTTGTGTTGATAGAGAAGAAGATGGCTGATTAATTAACTATTGACGTTAATCCACCTGGGATTTCCCAAGGGTTAATTCTCAAGACTCCACATTCCACCTTATTACCTTCTCATAGGCAGGCGAAGTGGCAGCTACAGTTTTGAGCATAATAGATTTGGTTCAGATGAAACTTCAAGCTTTCCTACTTAACACTTGTTTATTGCCCAGTGCCAACTGTTATTACTAATGATCCATAAGTACGCAGTAGAGTTAATCCATCTTAAAAGAAGGATTTATTGGATCCTTGAATAGAGACTTTAAAATTTTTGTTTTTGTTTTTCTTTTAACCACAACCTTCAGTTCATCAATTATTTCTGAATCTAGTACACACACACACACACACACACACACACGTAATTTACCTCTATTAAATGTAATTCCTTCTGGCGTTTTCTTTTGTATTTAAAAGAAAGCATGACCCACATATCATGCCCCACAGTTTGAGAAACCCTGCCCATCGGCATAATCGTATTGATGAAATTATGGTTTTGGCTGAATTAAGAAATGTGAGCCTAATGTGATTCTTTCTGTAACTAACATGGGAGAACATGGTGTGTTCAGAGCTGATGATCTCTGGGTTTTGTTGAGACTATTATCCTACGTTATGATTAAAGGAGCGCGGGCAGAGGAGGTGCAGGAGAGGTACAGGGAACTAGTTAAGAGCATAATTCTGAAGGCAAAGGACTTGGGTTCAAACTAGACTCTAGCCCTTGTTTGCTGTGGAATCTTGGGCGAGTCACTTAACCTCTTTGTGTCTGAGTTTCCACATCTACAAATGGTGATTATAATAGTTCTATGTCATGGTGGTGTTGTGAAAATTAGATGAGTAAAAACAAATTTAAATTGCTTAGAAGAGTACTTGATACTAATATGTTTATCTTATGTATACTATTATAAAATTGTAACATAATATGTCATGTTATATTATATATTATATTATTATATAATAATATCCTATTATTATATTGTGATTAGGCCCCTAGAGAGTTGTACCTTTTAACCAATTTGTCTAATTTTCTCAAAAATTCCAAGAGAAAAAAATACATGAAATAGACTCTTCAGACACCGCCACGTTTTCAGATGCTTCTTTGCTCTGGTCAGGAACCGGAAAAACTGGAGTACACGGTGCTTTTAGACGACACAGCTTTGCTCTTGGACCCCGAGTTTTGATGACTGCAGTGATTATAGAATCATGGATATGTTGTGCCATGATTTAAATCCAGTTCGCAAACTTCAGGCCAGAACTTGGAGGAGGCTGTTTGAAGCAGAGACCCTCGGAACCAAGTCTGTTGTAATAATGTGTACCCAAATTTGCCCCATTGGCATCTGACAGTGGTACGTATTTGGCCCTTGCTGTAAACTAACTACTTGATACATCATTTGGAGTTTGAAAGACAGAAGACCTTATTGATGTCCCAGGGCACCTGTGGTAGCCATGCAAATGTGCCTCGCAGTTCTCCAACTACAGACAGTGTAATTGATCCAGGTTCTGCACCTGCTCTCTGCATTTCATCACTGTGTTTGGGCTGAGGCTTACCTGCCCCAGGTTGCTCCCAGCCGTTGATTGAGCCTGGCAAGGATAGGAAAGCAGGCCTGTTCCTGGGAGCCAGAAACTCCTCTGAGGAGGGACTTGTGTTGGAAGAGTCCCTGATGGCCTTCTAGAATCTTCCTTAGAGGAAGGCATATAATACATAGATATTAATGGGAGATAAATGTGAAAGGCAGTAGAGGATAAAACATTCTAATATAAGAAAGAAAATAAAACTTTGTGTTCTATTTTTATTTCCCTTATATTGCCTATACTTCTTTTAGATATATGGACATTTAATATGTGTCTGAGGGTGTAAAACTCAATTGAATTGAATGATTATTAATTGTTTTCCATTTTTTATAAATAATTGGAGCTTGTCTCTAATTGCAATTTGATGGATTCATGTCCCATTTTAAAAAAGAACTTTTCAGATTTTGACACAATAAATCATTCACTCCTCCGTAACGTGTATTCCTCATGTGGCTTCCAACAGAGCACACTCTATTGGTTTTTCTCCTAATTTATGGCTTATTCTTCTCAGTCTCCTTGGCTGGTTCCTCCTCTTTTTTCTGACTCACAATCTTGGAGGGGCCCACAGCTTAATTCTCGATCTTTATCTCTAACTACATTAATTTCTTTGGTGATCTCACTTAATTTCAAGATTTAAATACAACATCAATGCCAATGATCCCCCAAATTATACCTCCAGCCCAGACCTCTTTCCTAAACTCCAGATTTGTAAATCAGATGCCTACTGGCAAATAATAAAAATCTAAAGCTCAGCATGTCCAGACTTGAACTTCTGCTTCATCTGCAGCCTTCCCATCCTAGGTGATGGCAATCACTCCTTCCAACTGATCGGGCCAAAGACCTCAGAGCTATTTTTGACTCATCCCTTTCTAGCCTACTCTACATGCAATCATCAAGAATATCTATTGGCTCCACCTCCAAAATATACCCAGAATTTAGATATTTCATGCCACCTACCTGTGACCACCCCAGTCCAAGCTACCAGCATCTCTCTCCTGGAAAATTTGTAAAAGGTAACCTTGCTTCAGCTGACAGTCTCTCCTCAGCTCTCAGAGTTATAAAACGTGAATCAGAACATGTCATCCCTCTGCTCAAAACCCCCAATGTTTCTCCATTCCACCTACAGAAAAAGCCAAAATCCTTGCAATAGCCCGCCAAATCCTAGGTAATCTGCCAGACAAATTCCCTGCCTCCCTCTACCCACTTAGTCGGTGCAGAGTCTTGAACACCCCGGGCGCCTCCTCAAGTTCTGGCTCTGCTTGGATGCTCTTCCGCCACATCCAGGGTGGCTCATGTTCTTCTCGCATTTACTTGAATCTTTTCGGGGAGGCTTACCTTGACTAGTTTTCTCAGTACTGCAAACTGGCTCCCACCTCTCCAGCACTCGTGATCCCTCCCTCCTGCACTGCTCTGCATTTTCTCTTTATCATAGCACTTATCACCTTCTAACTTACCATCATTTAGTTAACATGTTTATTGATTACAGTTTGTCTCCACTACCAGAATAGAAGATCCTTGAGGACAAGGATCTTTATTTTGCTTATTGATGTTTCCCACATGCTAGAACAGTGTTTGAAAGTAGGGTCCATAAGTCTTTGCTTAATGGATAAACAAACTTTTTGGCAGCAGAAGTGACTACTGTTAAAGATGAAGTAAATTAGTAAGATGACCTTTTTTTATCTTAGTATGAGGACTGGTACATAGTTAAAATCATTGTATCATTAATTTTTTCATGTATTCTGCAGTAATAGAAAAAATAGACACCTACTCTGGGTCCAACAGTAGCTGCTGAAGGAAATAGAATAGAGTACAAGAGGCAGTTGTTGCATTAAGGGGCTCTAGCAGGGGAGGTGAGAAGCACAGCTTCTCGATGTGAGACACACAGTCAATAGATGTGAAACAAGAGACAAAGAATAAAAGAAAATAGTATGTCAGGGATCAAAATAAGAGAGGCTATGTTATTGTTTATTGAATTTTACTTATAAACTAACTTTTAACAATAAGGATTTGAGGAGCTTAAACAATGATATATACTACAAGATGAATGAAATAGAAATTGGAAATCAGAACAAACACAAATGGAAGAAACAAGCAGCCTCCTTCTAAGAGTTAATACTAAGCATGAATACAGTTTCTGCCATTGCCCATGAGCATTGACTCTGAGCATTCTGACACTCAGGGAAAGGAAGCATAGTATACTGTACTCTAGACTTTGATTATCAGAGAGGAAAATGGACTATTATATCAGTAAGTGGCACATAAGTGGTACAGACAATAAATGCTATGAGTATGGTTGGGACCATTCTGTGTTTGGGGAGGGAATATGCTGATATGATTCCTGAAGTTTCGTCTGGCTTCAAGATTTTAGATTCTTGTCAGGGTTCCTTTCAATCCAGATTTTGTCTAGCTAGTATGTACTTTCACCAATAACAGCACACCCTGTCTACTTAATGGGCAAAATATCAAAGGGGGACTTTTCTGTCTTTACATAATGAAAATTAATTTCTGCTCTTATCAGACTTTACCCTTCTGACTCTTAAAGCAATGCAAAAAAAAGTTTTGCCTTAAATTTCCTTCACTTTCCTTTGGGCCATCAATGTAACTAAGCTGAGGTGATAGCATCTTCTAACCCAGCAATAACAGTGAATGGAGATTTATTTACTTTAGGTAACTGTTCAAATATATGTTGAAGAAGGAGGATGTATTTTTCTTTTGTGATTTGAGTATGAATAGTTATTAATTTCCATAAAATTATATACAATATAAAAGAATGAATGAGGCACTGTGTTACTTATTTCCATATGTGCTAATTCTCCTTATTCTTAAACATATTTAATTCTGTGCTTTAAAGATGAGAGATACTGTGGCTCAGAGAGATAAGGTAACATATCTGACAATAAGTGAAAGAAGTAACACATAAGCCAAGTATGACTCAAAATCCTTTCTGTTTCCTTTCTATTAAGCCATGTAACCAACAGAATTTAAGGGAGTTGAATTCATCTTACTCATTATCAACGAGATCAATGAAATTTGTTCTCAGCATTCTGAAAGGTTTAGAATGTTCTCACCCTTCCCCCAACACAGATACATCATCTTACCTCAAATTCACAATTTGGATAGTATGACCTGAAAACACTAAGAAGCTTTTCAATATGTAACGGGGCCTGTGCCATATGCTTTCTGAGAGTGTGAGTGTAAGTCATCCAAAATACTGACATGAAAATGTTAAAAAGGATTTTATTTTCAAGCTCTTACAGGACACTATGTGCCAGGCTTTGTTCTAAGTGTTTTACAAATATCAACTCACTCAATTATTGTATTATTAATATTTGCATTTTACAAAGTGGGAACTGAAAGCCCAGAGAGATTAAGTAATTTGCCCAAGGTCTCATAGCAAGTAGGCGGCACAGTCAGGATTTGAATGCAGGTTTGGAGTCTGTGCTGTCAACCACGACCCTATGTTGCCTCAGCTGCTGCATTTCAGTAGGAATGAGTTGTAAGTACATTCCTCTTATTTTTGTTACAGGAAATATAATCTATTTCAGTGTAGGCCCTAGTCAAGAAGATGTTCCTCCCATCAAGACAAATGGAACACCTCCTTCCTTCAAGAGGCCAGACCAGACCATCAGATACATACAAAGAGACAGAGGGAATTATTCCTAACGTATTAAATCGAGCACATGGTAGAGCTCATCGGAGGAGCCCACCTCCTTAGCAATACCGTTGAAATGTGATGGTTCCTAAACTGACTTCTGGGTAGCTAGTCAGTTGAGATTGAGTTTTTAGGACTTTTCAGTGTAGACTGAGAGGCACAAGAACAGAGAAGAGCACTTCTCAAAGACTCAGCAGATCTCTGACTAGAGGAGAAGCCTCTTAGCCATACCCAGAATTTATACAATTTCCTAAGTGGAAGTTTATGCCAGACCCTACCACATAAATATTGATATATTTCTCATTCCATAAGTGAGTTCTTTTATTCTCAAGTAATCTCTTAAACATCATAAAATTCCCAAGTTAAAAAAAAACTCTGGATATTGCTTTGCTACAGGTATATTTCTAGCTTGATCCTACCTGAACAATACTGTCAAGATTCTGTCATTAAGAGTTAGAAAACTCACATAAGTAACTATCTGTATAGAATGATTCATGCTTCACTTTATATGAATTCCTATAGATCGGCATCCAATCCCCAGGCATTACATAGAGTGTGGAGCACCATAAATATGACAGGATAGAGTGTCCTCCTTTCCAAAGGCCCGTGGTCAGGTTTGCTGGAACTAGTAATGTCTGTTCTGGCTTCTGATTTTCCATCGAAATTAATGTCTGCAATGCAATTGAGGTTCTGAAACAGAGTTAAGGGAAGTAAAGAAGATGGGTGCAATGAGATCTTTCACAAGTTGCGCTGGTCACTATGGGAATGTTGTTGTGATGATTAATTTTATGTGTCAACTTGACTTGGTCATGGGAGTGCCCAGATATTTGGTCAAGCATTATTCTGGGTGTGTCTGTGAGGGTGGTAAGATTAACATTTGAATCAGTAGACTGAGTAAAGGAGATTGTCCTCCCCAGTGTGGGTGGCTTTCATCCAATCAGTTGAAGGACTGAATAGAACAAAAAGCCTGACTCTCCTTCAAGTAAAAAGAAGCTCCTCCGGCCTGACTGCCTTGAGCTGGGACATTGGTCTTTCCCTGCTTTTGGACTCAAACTGAAATACTGGCTCTTCTTGGGTCTTGAGCTTGCTGGCTTTCAGAATGGAACTTACACGATTGGTTCTCCTGGTTCTCAGGCCTTTGGGCTTGGACTGGAACTACACCATCAGCTCTCCTAGGTCTCCAGGCCTCCAGCTTGCCAACTGCAGATCTTGAGACCTCTCAGACTCCATAAGGTATGAGCCAATTCCTTACAATAAATCTCTGTAGAGATTTGTATATGTGTATATATATATCTCCATCCTATTTGTTCTGTTTCTCTGGAGAATCCTGACTAATATAGTTGTCTTTTCCATAAAATTAAGGGCAAATGGATTATTTCTTCCCCAGTACACGGAGGCATATTGGTCCACTTTTCTTCAGAGCTGAGGTCTCTTATCAAAGAAATCAAGAGGTTCGTTTTCAAGGATAAGTTATTAGCTTTGCCTGTCTGTGGGAAAAGGATAAGGCTAAAGAAAAGTGAATTCCATCATTGCTTAAAATTGTTGTAATGGCCACATGATTTCTGCACATATCTCTAGGGAATAAACAGCCTTTCATCACTTTTTAGTGGGTCTTTCCATCTCCTCATTAGTTCTGAACTCGGAGCTAGAAAAATGAGTAGGCAGAATGATCTGACAGCTAGAAGGTCGCTTCTTTCATGATGAGACTCTTTCCTCATCTTTCTTAAACTGCTTTCCCCCACCAAGTGTAAACCACATCCACAGCTAAAGGAGAAAAAGTCTCTCCCTCCTGTGATCTTAACATAAGATTATCTGACACATGTCTAGGACTCATCACCCTATACCTACATGACTACTAGAGTTATTATACTATATATTCTCCTGGTCTGTGTTTTTTTTAGCACAAGGTCTCCTAAACATTTCAGTTGCCATGTAACATTTTCCCTTGTACTATTTCTCTCTGCCCTCAAACTGATTCATCTACTTTGTCTCATTCTTGGGATTTTACCCATGAATATTTTCAGAGGAAAGAAAATTAACTTACCTACTCTTTCTGTTGTTTTGGTTGAACTCTGATTCTCAGCTATAAAGGAAAGAAAAGAAAAGGAAATCACTAAAATTAAATGTTGAATATCAGATCTGCTCTTACAATTGTTTCAGGTGGTAAATGGATATAGATCTTAGCTCATTTCTGATTCATTTTTCCTCAAATCATAAAATCGTGAGGCTTCATGATTAGAAGAAACTTTAGAACAGGTGTCAACTAAATTTTTTTTAAAGGGCCAAGTAGTAAATATTTTAGGCTTTGTGACCCAGAAGTCTCTGTAGCAACCACTCAACGTTGCCATTGTAGTGTGGAGGCAGACATACATAATACCTGAAGAATAGGTATGGCCGTGTTCCAATGAAACTTTATTCAGAAAAAGAGGTGGGGGCTGGATTTGGCCTGTGGGCCACAGTTTGTTGAATCTGCTTTAGAGCATCTGGTACACGTTCACACCTTGAATACATCAAGGTAACACGGACAACTCCAGAACCTTTGCTATGTGCCTCATGAGTGGCGTTGCCATGTGTCATATTCCTACTAAGATAAGATGCTTCTCCTGAGGAGGAAGATACAGAATGGCTCAGACAGATATCTTTGAAACTTAGGGAATTCCTTTAAAGAAAATATAGTCCAGAGGAGCTTTCTACAAGTAAAATCACTTGAGAGAACTATAATCAAAGGTCACTTTAACAACTCTGAGTATATGCCCATGAACAAGATTTGCCACGTGAAAAATATAGAAAATAATTTTGAAACAAATAGAAGCCCAATAATGATAGTTTAAAAATACCCACTTACTTCTTTTGTATCTTCACTTGATCATCAGCATGTCGAATTCAACATGCCCCAAGCAGAACTCTTGACTGGTATCCTCAAATCCGCCTCTTCCCCAACCTTCCTGGGTCAATACATGGTACCATTGTCCCCCAATTGCACAAGCCAGAAAGTAGTGGCCTCTCCTGCTTCTCCTCTTTTTCTCACCGCTATCAGCTCTAGCTTCAAAATATATTCCAAATACGTCTCACCATTTCATAGGCTACAGTTCATCTAGTACCCATATCTCTCCCCACGGGACCTGCAATAGCCACCTAGAAAAACCTTTTTAAATTTAAACTTGGCTGCCCCAATGGCTCCCTATTCTTCTCCTTACTGTGCTGGCAAGTCTTCACACGCGGTGGCCCCTGCCTTGCTCCTCTATTCGTCTCCAACTATTCAGCCCCTGTTCCACCCTGTCAGCCTTTCTGTGGTAGATGGAATTTTCGGGGCTCTCTCTGCTTCAGGCTTCTCTGCTGCTCTTCCCTGGGCCTCGTGTGGGTTCTCAGGCCTACACCTGCTTCCTTCTACCTTTCGGGACTCTGCTCAGATGTGACCACTCAGAGAAGCCTTCTCCAATCACCTTATCTAAAGCTGTCTCCTCATTTCCCTTCACACTAGTCCACCATCCTGCTTCATTTGATCAACAGTACTTTTATTACCACAATGACATTTACTTTATTAAAAAAACTTTTTTGTTGTCAGAATGTAAACTTTGTGAGGACAGAGACTTCTTGTTTCACTCAGAGCCACAATTCCAGGGCCCACCACCAGGCCGTGGTAAAACAGGTCTCCAGTGAAAACATATGGAATGAATGAATGAGAAAAGAAAATAATAATAATAAATAAGACTAATTCTACCTACCTGAACGCAATTGTTGAGGGAAAATGAATGCTTTATTTAAAATTGCTAGTTGGATAATGATAGCTACCATTTTTAAAGCAATTAATTCGGTACATGTGTGTGGTGATGGGTTGTAACTAGTATTTAGGTGGTGAACATGATGTAATCTATGCAGAAATAGAAGTACAATGATGTACACCTGAAATTTTTACAATGTTATAAACCAATGTTGCTGCAATAAACAAAAAATTAAAAAAAAAATAAAGCAATTCTTATGACCAGTTTCATATATTATTTGCTGATGTCTACAAGAGAGATATCATTCTTCCCACTTTGTAGATCTGCAAATATGAGCTAGGAGAAGTGACACTACTTTCTCAAGGGGGGGACCACGATTTTAATTCAGGTCTATTGGTTGCAATGTCCCTCTTCTTTCACTACAATAGACAGCTTTTCAGGCCAGCCCCAGGGGCCTGGTCAAGTTCTGGGTACTCCGCTTCCATGGCCTGCGCACGGTTCCGGGTGTGGACCCACACCACTCGTCTGTCAGTGGCCGTGCTGTGCCAGCAGCTCACACACAAAATGAGGAGGACTGGCAACAGATGTTAGCTCCGGGCAAATCTTCCTCAGCAAAAAATAAATAAATTAAATAAAGTAAAATAGATGGCTTTTCCTTCCACTAAACTGTTCTGAATGGAAAGCTTATGTAATTAATCCCTACTTTTGATACTAGTGAAAATACTTTTGAACATGGCCTAATGCTGTATGTGGAAGATGCAGTTAAAATAGTTATCAGCTCCCTAGAGGACTAGAACACAAAGAAAATCAAAACCCTTTGTCTCTCTTGCTATTAATATCAGGCCATAACCTTTCTTGCTGACAGACTTCACTGAGAATGAAAAACTTTTAAACTCATATCAGACTAAACCTTCTGACTATCTTTATTTGCATTTTTTTTTCAGCCTTCAAAAATGTGTAATAATTTTAGAGGGACATATCATATAAAAGAAAAATAACTATGTCTTAAGATGTAGCCCAATCTTTAAAAAAAATAACATGTACCAATTTAAAACCCTTATATTGATTCCTAAGAGGTCCAGACTTTTATATATAAATGAGTATATTGTTATTCTGAGGGCAAAATTATGCAAATCTTAAATATTTAATCAATACTGGAATATATGCTTTTTTCCTGAAATCAAGGAGATATTATTTTGAATATAGTAAAGTGTTTTTATATGGCATATCACTTACAAATGTGGATTCAGTTCTGTGAATATAAAAGCTAAATAGAGATGAATGCTATGGAATATGGTTAAAGTTGTGGGAATTAATGGAATGTGAAGACATTTATTTGCAGTTATTCCTGGTTTTTACCTATAACTTTCATAATACACATGTGTTTTGAGAAAAGTCCAAGGTGTGATTTAGAGGAAGTGAGTAAGGTCAAATAGCGAATGAGTGTAGTGAACTTCTGTTAACCTGTTCTCAAACTTAGATGTTTAGTAACAACCAAAACCTGAGTCACGGTAGTTGGCAATTTCAAATATCCTTGTTGAGTTTGATTCTCTAATGTGAAATTGAAATCTTATAACATACAAATGAACTTCTAAATTGCTAAACTTTAGTCCACATTAATCTAAAGCTAAACTTTACTCAAATAATTAGTTTATAAAAAAGAAAGCTTAAGCAACAATACGACAAATAACTTTGCTAAATATTCTTATCTTACAAAGGATATTGTGTTTCCAGCTGTATTTAGCTGTACACAGTTAGACACAGAACATGATATATCATTAACAAGTCCAGGAGAAAGAATATATACAGCCATTCTCATATAATTTTTTACTGATTTGCCTTAAAATGATTTACTATGACCACTTCAAGTTCTCCTATACAGGGCATTGACTGAGTCATTGTCTGTAAGATTATTTCTGATTTGGCTAAACTGTGACTTGTGACTACGACTTTGTTATCCTTAGACTTCTTCTTGTATCTGCCCACATGAAATGATACAAACTAATTAAATGTCATATCAGAAATGTTGTGATTAAGTTCCCAAATAAGTGGTACAATTCACAAAAGGAATAATGAGGCTGAGTGATCAGGCAAATCAATGTTTTCCAAAGGATGGGCTGCATGGGATTGTATGAAAGATTCTATATGGCAGTACTGGAAAGTGGCATTAAGTAAGATTGAAACACCCAATGAGAAAGTTATTTTTCTTTCCAACTTTCTTTCAGTTTATTTGATTATTTCAATGAGGAAGTTTCAAAATTTCAGTTTGTTGCAAATATGTCATTAATACCTAGGATGTGCTTATCTTGATCTATTTTTTTAAACTATTTTATTAATTAATTAATTAATTAATTAATTAATTTTTTTGTGAGGAAGATCAGCCCTGAGCTAACATCTATTGCCAATCCTCCTCCTTTTTTTTTTTTCTCCAAAGCCCCAGTAGATAGTTGTATGTCATACATACAACTAGTTGCACATCCTAATTGCTGTATGTGGGACGTGGCCTCAGCATGGCCGGAGAAGCGGTGGGTCAGGTGCGCGCCCGGGATCCGAACCCGGGCTGCCAGTAACGGAGCGTGCGCACTTAACCACTAAGCCACGGGGCCGGCCCTTGATCTATTTTTTAAATAAGAATGAGCAAACCTCAAACTCAGAGCCTTTGGCAAGCCACAAAATCTAGCTAGAGTTTAATTTTATTTAGTTTACAGCATAGTGATTTTATAGCTCCTGTTCCTTTATGCCAAGTGAAACAAGTTTTTCATTTATGATGGTTTCCTTTTCAAACAAATTTAAGAATAAAAAGTGCATCAATTTAAAGAAAGTTCTAAATAAAAGTGCAGATGGTACACATATCTAGCAACACTCGTTCAGTTGTGGGAAATACTGAGGTAAAATCCTATAGAGGTCCTTGATGGATGTGGAGAATTTGAATAAGGAATCAGAGGGAGAAAGATGGGAAGAAGAAGTAAGGGTCATACAATGAGGAGAGCAGAATGAAGAAAACCACACTGTCGAGAGCAAATCTGGCAGTGGGAGAGACAGTCTGGTTAGAATCCCAGGTTATTCAGTCAGCCAGACAGTGTCTTGTGTTATAATTATCGAACATCTACTTGTCAAGCGTATGGTTTTTGTTGTTAGTGCTGTGGAGTTGATTCTGACCTCTAGTGACCCTGTGGAGAAGCAGGAGTTAGAAGGCGAGAGAGAGTTAAGGAGGGAGAAAGAAGAAAAGTGAACATTTGGGGGTTATAAAAATAGCATAAGACTGGAGGCAAAAAAAAAGTATAGAATGTTTGGTGGACAATAATTATATGAATTTGTCTGGATCAGATGTAGGTAATGTTTACAAATGTTAAGAACCTTG